CTCTCCCCGGCAGCCGGAGCGCCGCGCCGCCGCCCCCCTCCAGGTGCCGCCCCAAGCACCAGCTTGGGTGCCTGGTGCCTGGAGCCGGCCCTGGTTTCAGCCACACTGGCCATTAGCTCTGGTTGTCCCTTGTCAGTCCCTGCATTGGCTGCTGGCAGCCATCCCGGCTGGGGGAGCTTGTCTGTTTTTCACTCCTCTGGCTCTGAATCTTGGCCAGGCTCCCAGCTTTCATTGCCAGGATCCTCCCTGCTGACTCCACCCGTTGTGCCTTTTCCAGCGGTGGGCGCGGTGAAGGTGTCGGTGGGCGCTGCCAGCATCCAGGTGGCGAGGGGAGGGAACGCGCTTCTGCCTTGCAACTACCACACCACGGCCTCGCTGAGTCGCCTCAACATCATCTGGACGGTCACCCCGCTGGCGGAGCCAAACCGCCCCCAGCAGGTAGGTGGAGCATGGCCCTTTTCCTGCCCTTCCATTGCCGGAGGGTGGTTAGCTTCGGTACAGTCAGGGATTGAGGTCCCAGTCAGTGATCGGGGCCCTAGGATGCTGCGCACTGTCCCTGCCCAGAAACCTCACAGCCTAGGATGGTGGCCAGACAAAACAGGTGGGAGAAAGCAATGGAAGAGAGGGGGCGCGAAAGCAGTGGGGCGGGGGAGGGGGAATCAACACATGAGGTCAAATGAACTTGTGATGCCCAGTAAACAGCCATCCCGGTTCACCAGCTGCTGTCAGATGGCAGAGTTTTGCAGGCATCACAGGAGAGAGGAGCTGTTGCGAGTGCGCTGTGCAATTTCTCAAAACTGGGGCACCATTAACCCGTGGAACTCCTTGCTGCAGGATACTAGTGAGGCTAACAGTTTAGCAAGATGTCAACACACAGGAATAATAGCAGCAGCTGCAGCAGGCACGCTGTCTGGATAAAACAAGAAGGGGCAGATTTCAGGGTGGAGCTCGCTAAGGAGTCATGGAGGAGTTCTGCTCCCCCACACCCTGCTCTGCCCTGCCCTGCCCCCATGGGGTACTGCTACATTGCTGCTTAGGAGCATTGTATGGAGAGGGCAATGAGCCACCTGCCCCTCTCTCACACTGCAGATCACAGCCTGGCCTCGCCTTTCAAGCCACCAACCTAAACAGTGACTTTAAAAGCAGCCCCCTCTCCCCGTCACGAGGGGGAAGGCAGTGCTGGGGCGAAGGTGCTGCCTGGAAGCACCACCCTAGGATGCACTCTTGAACAGACCCCTGTTGGGCTTCATCCTCCTTTTCAGTAGGCCCAGCCCTGCTCCTGCTGACACTGGGCTTGGCACTAGCCCCTCCGGGCATAAGAACATACAAACGGCCACTCTGGGTCAGACCAATGGTCTGGCTAGCCCGGTATCCTGTGTTCTGACAGTGGCTACTGCCAGGTGCTTCAGAGGGAATGAACAGAACAGGGCACTTATCGAGTGAGCCCCAGAGCATGGGGTTGTGTCTCTGACCATCTTGGCTAATAGGCATCGATGGACCTAGCCCAGCTAGTTGGTGGCAGCAGTGGGATTTGACGTAGGCACTCCTGGCTCCCAGCCCAATGCTTTGCCCACTGGCCCACACTGCCTCTGCGAGTGCAATGGAAGTGCCCTGTGCTCAATGAGAGAACAAGGGGAGGCGTCTCTGGCTAATGGCTGGGTTCTTCCCTCCCTTCCCCTCCACCCCAGGTCCTGGCCTATGAGCAGGGAGAGGTGGTGGAGAGTCTGTCCCAGTACACGGGCCGCGTGGGCTTCGCCTTCCCACCCGCCCAGAGTGCCACCATCTTCCTCAACAAGACGCGCAGCTCGGATAGCGGGACGTACCAGTGCAGCGTCATGAACCCACCCGACCGGGACACACCCAACATCGGGGTCATCCAGCTCACCGTGCTTGGTACGTCCCGCCCTCATGGGGAAGAGGCCCCGCCTCACCTCTGCTGCCCTGCCCTTCCCCCCCCCCAGCATCCCTGCCTTTACACTGTCTACTGGGTGCTTGTCTCAATGTGTGTGTGTGTGTGCAGGTCTTGGGGTGGATCTGTCTGTCTCTGTGTGTAGCTCTTGGTGTGTGTGTCTGAGTGTGTGTGTGTGTGTGAGTCTTGGGGGGCCTGGTTGTGTGAGTAGGTCTGCCTGAGTGTGTGCAGTTCTTGGTATGTGTGCGTCTGTATGTCTGTGCAGGTCAGGGGTGTGTATCTGTCTGGGTCTTGGGGTGTGTGTGTGTCTGTGTGTGTATGTGTGGAGGGGGGGTTGGGGTGTGTGTGTCCCAGTGTGGCTGGGAGTGAGTGCTAGTGTGTGTGTGTGTGCCCCTATCTCAGTGGGTGCATGTGCACACACATCTGAGCAGTTGTCTGGGTGTGTGTTGTGTGCACATTTTGTTGTGTGCCTCTGTGTTACTATCTGTGTTATCATGAGATTTAGTGTAAAGTGTGCATGTGGGAGTAAAGCCTGTGTGTGAGCATGTAGCGGTGTGTGTGGTGCCTTGGTCTGACGCCTGGGTGTGTCTGTACCATGAGGGTGTATCTGTGTGTGTGTTTTGTGTTTGCGCTCAGCTGAATTGTCTGGGTATTGTGTATATATATGCTTGTGTGTGGGAGTGCACGGGCATTGTGTGTGTTCATGTACACTGAGTGTGTTCACTGTGCAGTGTGTGTGAGTGTGAGTGCATGTGCACTGTGCAGTGTGTGTGTGTGAGTGCATGTGCACTGTGCCCTATGTTGTGTGTGTGTGAGAGAGTGCATGTGCACTGTGCAGTGTGTGTGTGTGAGAGAGAGTGCATGTGCACTGAGCTGTGTGTGAGAGTGCAGGGCTGGCTCCAGGCACTAGCCTGGCCGCTCCGGAGAGGGATGGCACGTCCAGCTATTCGGCGGACGGTCCCTCACTCCCGCTCGGAGCGAAGGACCTTCCGACGAATTGCCGCCGCAGATCGCGATCGCGATCGCGGCTTTTTTTTTTGGCTGCTTGGGGCGGCCAAAACGCTGGAGCCGGCCCTGTGTGAGTGTGTACATATCTGAGTGCGTGGCTCTTTGTCTGTAGCTGGGCCAGCCCACCCCCCAGCTCTCTGACGAGTGCTAACAACCCCCAGTGCCTGGGCTCTCAGTAGCTGCTGTGGGCACTGGGCAGCCTAAGGACCCTGGGGGGAGCGGGGGTGTGTGTGGGGGGGACTGTCCTGTCCACAGCAGGTCCCCCTGACAGAGCGCTGATCTGTGTCCCCGCAGTGCCCCCCTCCAGCCCCGAATGCTCCAGCGAGGGGAGTGGGGAGGAAGGGGGGGACGTCCACCTGTCCTGTGCTGTGCGGGAAGGTGTGCCCGCCCCCTCCTTCAGCTGGGAGAAGATCCCCCCTGACAAGCAGCCCCTGGTGATGAGCTACACAGGTACTGGGAACGGCGGGATGGGGGTGGGGGTGCAGCATGGAGAGGGGTCTGGGTCCCATTAGCAGGGACTCGCCCCTGAGCACGTGAGCCCCACAAGTACCTGTGCCAGGGTCACATGCTACAGTGCCTACGTCGTGCACACAGGGCAATGTGGCATACACGGTGTTGCACCCAGACATGCAGACTGTGCCAGATGCCATGTGACGGGCATCTTCTGGTAGAAGAAGCCAGTGGGGAGTGGGAGGGGGTGTCTAGTGGCTGGACCCACAGAGAGGAGAAGAGTCTTGTCCCACCACCGGCTAGGCAGCCGTCCCCTTTAGCCTACGTGGCAGAGGCCCCTGTGCTTGGCCCCCAGGGAGCTGAGTTCTAGCCCCGGCTCCCCAGCTGGCCTGGGGGTGGCTCCAGTGTAACCCGCTCCCTCTCGTTTGTCCCCTCGCTCTCCGGCTGGCGGGGCAGAGGCGCGCCGGGCCCTGCTGACCCTGCAGAACCTGACGGCCGCCACCTCAGGCCTGTACCGCTGCACGGCCTCCAATGCGCTGGGCTCCAGCTCCTGCGCCCTCCAGCTGCACGTGCGCCTGGGTGAGTCAGGGCCGGGGGAGGGAGGGGAGTGGCTCCCACTCATCAAACGCTGGGCACTGACTGGACATTCGCCAGTGCCGGCGGCCAACTGGAGAGAATGAGCCCTTTGATTGGCTACCCAGACACCAAACTGGTCCCAGCTGTGAAGCCAGCCCAAATGTTCCAACCATGGCTTGAGGCAGAGCATGTCCTGCTGGAGACAGCTGCCCACAGTACCCCACCCCGTCCCTGGGGTAGGGCCCTTCCCTGGTTCACTAAACCTGGATCGGATCAGATCAGAGCAGCTTGCATTTGGGGCTGAAGCCCTAAGAGGGGAGATGCCCGCACCCAAAGCCAGCAACTCTGCGCCTCTAAATCCCTGTGGCTAACGGCTAGTCCTGGTTGGAAAGGATCCGTGGGAAGGTTTCTCTGTTGGAAAGGGCTGATTCGTTGACAGCAAAATGCGTCGATTCGAATATGGAGACGGCCAAGACGCTCCAGGTTGGCCCGTTCCAGACGGGAACGTCTCGACTTTTCATTTCGAAGCCACATTCCGTTTCAGGGTTTCTGTCCTTGTACAGTAGTAGGGGGGAAAGGAACCTTTTTAAATAATGAAACTGGAAGGAAACATTGTGATCAACCCAACGGTGTCTTGGTTCCGGAATTTTATTGCCTGGGAAATGTGGAAACCGTTCATTTCTGTTCTGTGCCGGAAATTTTTTTCCAAACTTGCGGAAAACCTGATTCCCGCCCATCTCTGCTGACAAATCCCGCACTGGGGCCGTCTGCTTTGGCCAGTCCAGGTCCTCTGCACCCCCTGCTACCACGACCCGCCTTTCCTGCCCCCCGACCATCTAGGCAGCAATTGGCCGCCGAGCCGCTGGTGACCTGTCGCTGTGTTTCAGCCCCGCAGGGCACGCTGGGCATCGCGGTGGGCGTCACCGTCACCCTGACTATGGGGCTGGTGCTGCTGGCTCTCCTAGTCCTGGTGCTCTGGTTGCACCACCAGAGCGTGCGGAAGTGGCCGGAGGAGGAAGTGGAGGATTCGTACAATGAGATCAGGTGAGCTCAAAGGCCGTGGGGGCGGGGGGGTGGGGGGGGATGAGGATGGGAGGAGGGGTGAAAAGAAGCAAAGAGAAAGGCAGAGCAAAGCGATGTGGGGGGAGGCATGAACTCCACTCCCAACACGTAGCTGCTTGATCTCCAGGGGTTCAGAGGTCTTGGGAAAGGGTGTGGGCAATACGGACACTCTTCGAGAGACAAGGGATTAGACTGAACCCCGCTACAGCTCCTCTGCACCCCTCAACTGTTGGGGGTGCTTCCCCTTGCACCTAATCTATTATGATGGCTGCATTTCAGTGCTGGGTGAACTGATTCTCGATGTAGGGCCTAAGGCCCCTACACCGCACTCTAGCAGCATAAAAAGGCCCCCGTTATCCTGAAAGGGGCCTTAGAGTAAACGAGAATTGGGCCCCTTGGGGACAGTCTCAGAAGAGCTCCGAAACGCTGGGGGCTGAGCTCTTGAAAGTCTGGCTCCACAGTGTTCGTAACATCCTTTAGCTCCAGGCAGGGGGGAGTGGCAAGAGGTTCAGGGTGCTGGAGCCGTATCAGCTCCCGGAGGGATCGAAACTCACAAGTCAGGCTCCCAAAATCCTGAGATTGTCTGAAAAAAACATGCGATTTGATAACAAACGTGTGGCTCTTTTCCTTCTGATTCCTGAGCCTTTCGAGGGCACATTTCCCGGCTTTTCCCTGAAACCGGCCATTTCTGTAAAACGTAAGCCCAGAGTGTCCTGGCCACAGGACTTCCAGGGAAACAGCAAAGACCTGAGAGTCCTTTCCACACACAGGCTGTGTGAGTGTTACCATGGACAGCGAAAAAGAAATTGCACCAGAGCCTCTGAGCTGCCCAGCCCTGCTGTGAGTGCCTGGGAGAGTCGGTCATTTGGATTTTCATTTAAACCACAGCCTGGCAGCAGGATAGAGACACAGCAGCGAGGAGGGTATAGTTCAGGAATGAGCAGGCTCTGGGGAGCCAGGACTCCTGGGTTCCCACCGGCTAGTGCAGGGGTTCTCACAACACACTTTTTGGTGGCCTCAGAGTGTGGCCACCAACTCTTGCTGGTGGCTGCTCTGCCAAACCGCCTCCCACGGCCCTTCATCCAGAGCCGGCCCCGGGGAAGATGGATCAGGAACTCAGGAATCCCAGGCTCTCCATGCCCCGGCCAGATGGGAGTGGGAGAGCTTCCCAGGGGAGCGCCCCAGCGACCGAACGCCGCAGACGCCTCCACTGACAAGTGCTGCCTCCAGCACCATGCAGGCCTCCAGAGGCACTGCCTGGAGCCCCCCAGGAGCTGCGAGTCCCTGCCACCTGCCCTCGGTAACAGCTCTTCAGGAGCAACTGCTGGGGGCTGCAGGGAAGGGCTTTGCTCCCCCCCAATCTCCACCCATGCTTTGGAGGCTGTCGTGGCTGCAAAAATCTCCACTGGTGGCTGCATTTGAGAAACACTGAGCTAGTGACTCTGGGCAAGTCAGTTTCCCCACTTTTTGCCTCAGTTTCCCCATCAGTACAATCCTGTCCCAGTGGCCAATCCTGCCATGGGGTGTGTCTGTGAAGGGCTGTTGGTTGGCCAGTGTGCATGGTTGTGAACACATGTGCACACGCACACACACACACACACCCTCTCCCCAGGTGGAATCTGTGGGCAAAAGCAGCTTTTATCTGGTGTTTAAAGCCTTCTCCCCCCCTTCTGTGGCAAGCTGGACAGGATCAGCCTGGCTCTGAGATTTCTGTGTGTTGCCTGATTTTGCAAAGAGGCCTGGCTGAGAAATGCACTAGGGACAGGAATAGCATAACAAACCAGGGTAAAGCAAACGATACGGGCTGGATGCAGGATTCGGGGGGGCGGGGAGTGTGTCTCCGGCCCGTACCGTGCAGGAGGTCAGACAAGACCATTGGAGTTGGGCCTTCGCTGGCCTTAACATCTATGGCTCAGTTACCTCCCTGCTGCTGTTTGCAGCCTCTGCCCTGTGTTGCCAAGTGAGTCTCATGACATCTGTTTTTCTTAAAGCCCCAGCAGCCAGAGTCCTGTGATTTTAGGAGACACTGCTCAGCTTTCACTGAGGCAAAAAAGTACATTTCTGGCTTTTACAGTTGTGTAGAAAAGCTGGAAAATGTGACCCCGAATGGCTCAAAATCTACAAACAAAACCTGATACAGATTATTTAAAAAAATATTGTATTATCATCATTACTTATTAGGTGTATTACGGTAGCACCTGGGATCCCCAGTCCTGGACCAGGACCCCTTGGTGTCAGGCGCTGTACAAACACAGCCCCCTTCCCCAAGGAGCTTCCAATCTGCAGGGAACAGGGTGGGGGTCTTAATTAGGGGCGCTCTCCCCTTGCAATCAGTGATGACCCCAGTACTGTGCTAGGGGAGCAAGGTTGGGGGGGACAAGGAGAGGGCGAAAGTGGGGTACAAAGTATAAGCCAAGAGCCAACAGACCGATGGGGGCGTACAACACCGGTCAGCATGCCAGGCCGTGCTCTCCACCCAGCAGCAGCTTAGCTGGGGACAAGTGTTTTGTGGAGGGCTTTGGAGGTGTTTACAAGGAGCGTCCCCCACGTGAATGGGGCAGAAGGGGAGCGCGCACGAAGGGGCTTGCTTGGAAAATCTCACAGGTTTGAAGCAGCTGTGATTTTTTCGGGGGGAGGGCGGGGGATGTGATTTTGGCACACGTGGGGGGTGCCAACGCTGCTGATTCAGGGATCGCTGTGGGAGGTGCTCTGGCCGGTGCGAGCCAGGAGCTCGGACGGCGTCACGCTGGGGCCGTCTCGCCTTGGCAGCATGACTCTGAAGCGAAGGAGGGGCAAGGTGCTGCACAGGGCGCTGGCCGGAGGCAGGCGATTCTCATCCACACACCTCCAGGAGCTTCCCCCAGCCCCAATCCCTGAGGTGCTCCTTGAAAGACGTGTCCCCGTAATAGAGCTGGGGGAGGGACGTCCCGTGATGAGAGCCCAGCTGGGGCAGGGGGGTGATGGTCAGTCCAGGTTTGATTAGCAGGGGTCCTAGGGCCACCACACGGCACAGCTGTTTAGGCCAGGAAGTGAGGCAGACGCATCCAGGCTGTTGAAAAGCAGGGGGACTTCGGGGTGGCCGCGTGGTGGGACCTGAGCTGCAACACGGCCAGATCTGGAGAACAGTGCTTGGGGAGCCGGCCAGGCTGGGCTGAAGGGGCCTGACTTAGTGCGGTGCTAGGGTCAGCAGTGACTGGGAGGGAAGCGTGCCCCCTACAGCACCGCCACCCCCACCCCGCCCCCTACAGCACTGTGCCCCCACCATGCCCCCACCCAGCCCCCTACAGCACAGCACTCCCCATCATGCCCCTGCCCCGCCCCCTACAGCACAGCACCCCTTACTTCATCCCCATCCCACCCCCTGCAGCACAGCACCCCCCACCCTGCACCCGCAGCACAGCACCCCCGTCCCTTGTTTGCCCTTCCCGGTCAATGGGCCCCGCTGGTTCTGTGCTGCCGTCGTGCCCAGGGCAGAGGCTGATGTTGCTGTGCACAATGTCTCCCCAGAGTCGACAGCCTCTCACCACGGCGTCTGCTCGTAGCCAAGACTCTCGCCAGTGACATCCCCATGGCCAACCAGGCTGCAAAGCCCCTCTGGATCTTCACCAGCTCCACCCCCAACACCACCTACGCCAACCGCCAGCGCGGGCTGGGCGAGGGGAATCAGGCGGCACCGCCCGGGGGGCTGCGACAGCCAGCGTGGGCAGCGCCCCGGGGCAGGAGGAGGAGCAGCAGCAGCCTCTCCGAGGAGGGATCCCTGCCAGGCAGCCAGGCAGAGGAGGAGCCAGCCTGGCACCCTTCGTGCCACCGAGAGCCAGCCCCAGCCAAGGCGCTTCCCCCCAAGCACCCCAGCTTCCTGGTCTAGGGGCAGCGGGTCCAATGGGCACAGAACTTGGGGGCCGATGCCGGCAGCCAGGTCTCCCTGGGCAGGCACATTGGCCTCTGTGCACATGCAGCAGCCTTGGGCCAACCTGCTCCCACCCTGCCATCAACCCCCCGCAGCCAGCCCCATGTCCCTTGGCACTCAGCCCCCAGGCCCTTTCCCTCGGGCAAAGCCCCCACGCTGGGTAGCCCCTCTTCTGGGGAGGCAGCCGGCCAGCCCCCCAGCCCAGGGGCCAGTCAGGTGTCAGCCATGGAGGCCTCTGCCTCGAACCCAGGTCACATACAGACTGGGCAGATGCAGGGTTAGCTTCCCCGTGCTGCCCCTGCACGGCTTCAGGAGCTCCCCTGCCAATCTGGCCAGGCCAGTGCCCCTCCGCGGAGCCTGCTGCCGATGCCAGATCAGATGGGAGCAGCGACCTCACCAGCAAAGGCTACCTTGCCTGGCCCATGGGTCAGTGGCCTGGTCCCGGCTCAGCCCCACGGTTGGCCTCTGCCGAGCAGCACCTCCTACTGCTGAGGGGCCCTGTGGCCAGTCACAAATGCCCCCAGGCCTGGCGAGCTAGGGAAGGGGACGGGCTGGAGCCAGCATGGCCGGAGCTGTTTGGGTTCGGAGCATCCCCTGCCTCGGGCTCACGGCTATTCATGGGAAAAGGCTGGAGATGCTCAGGTGATTCGGGGACATTCGGCCAGGGCCATCTGGAAACCTGCCCCTTTGAGGGGTTTCAAGCTGGGCCCCTTACATCACATGTCATTTCTGAAGATCATACCCTGAGCACCCTCACCGCAGCCCCCATGCCTGGGCCCGAGGCAGGGGGCAGGAAACATGAAACCACAGAGGAAGGAAAAGGGAAGCGTCTGCTCATGGGGCAAGGGAGAGAACAGAGGCAGCTGGGGAAGGGCAGGGGATCCCCAACATTCGGGGTAATCGCCTCTGTGAAGCCAGGATGTTCTTTATCTCGGCCCCCACCCCACAGGGATGAGCCAGGACCAGACACTGGCTACTGCTGCATTCTTGGCTGCTGCCTGGCTCCCACGCAGAAGCTCCCCCAGAGAGGGAAAGTCAGGTCCTACATGGGGATCCTCCTGGGGAAAGTTCTGGGGCTTGTGCACTGCAGATCAGTGATCGAAGTGGCCCTACAGGTGAGCTGGCCCTGTGCTTCAGTAGCCCAGCCCCGGGGGCTGGAGGGGGTAGCAGCAGGGGTCCTGCCCCCTCTCCCGCCCACCCCTCCCAGAGCTGGATTGGGGGGTCCCTGCCAGTGAAATAAAAGCAGCACCACATGGAAAAACAAATCACTATTTTTATTTATTCTGCTTTTTAAATTCAGAGAATTAAAAAAAAGTCAGAGACCAGCAGAACCAGGCAGTGCCAGCCATGGGAGGGGATTGGGGGGGGGGGGCAGGGGCTGCCCCCGGTACAACGTCATCCGCCTCCCCCACAGCAAAAGGGTCAGTGGCTCAGCTGACAGCGTCTGCAGGGAAGGCCAGCCGGAGACAGGCTAACGCACTCCAGGCACACCCGGGGAACAGCAGTGTTTCCCCAATGCTGGTAACTGCCCTCCCTGGCACATGCTCAAACAGCCCAGGCTGGGGGTGGTGAGGGCACCAGGGAGGAACGGCTCAAGGCAGCACATGGGTGGGGGCAGGTGCCGGAGCCGGCTCCGGGAGAAGTGACCGGCTCCCTGTAGGAGCAGGGGCGGAGATGAGCCGGGCTGGGGAGAGGAAAAAGAGTCAAGGCAAGGGGTGAAACGGAACAAAGAGCGTGTCTGCCTGCTCAGCCGGCGGTGACGAGGACATGACAGCACGCGGGAGAGAGGATACGCGTGGGGGGGGGGTGCGTGGGGCTGATGGGTGGACGTGCTACTGTGCAGGCCTGAGATTGTGTGCACATGCGCGGGAGAGCTACCAAGGGGAGACGTAGCAGTGGGCGAACACAAGCATGCGTGGCATCGTGACTGGGCACAGGGGCCCACGCGCGCGCCCTGCCTGGCTGCCCACAAGCGGGGGCCACGCCGGGAGCAGAACACCAGTTCGTTCCACCACAGCAATAAAAATACTTTTTAAAGAGACAGCGTCAGCTTCTTTATTCAAACCAGCTCCGCCGGGGAGGGGGGCAGCAGGCCGAGTCTCTGGCCCAGGCTGGGTGGGAGCTCTAGGGGGAGGCAGGGCAGGCGGAGGCTCTGGGCCAGGCTCGGAGGGAGCTCTGAGGGGAGGCCCAAGCACTGGGTTCAGCCCCAGGATGCTGACGCTGCTGCTTTCGGGTCTGTACAGCAAGAGCGAGGCGCTGCAGTTCAGGAGCATCGGCAGGCGAGAACTGTCTCCTGCGGGCAGTCGTGACTGGGGGGGCCCCTCCTCGCCTTGTGCCTTGGCAGACCCCGAGGCCGGGGGTTCAGCCGCTCCCCCCATGCCCCTCGCCAGTCAGTGGGTGTCGTTTTTGATGATGATCTCCACCCCGTGCTGACGCAGCTGCGCCCGCAGGATCAGGTTCTTGTTCTTGAGATCTTCCACCTGGAAGGGGGAGAGGGCGTCAGGCTGGGGACCTGCCCTGGCCCTGCCCTAGCCAGAGGTGGGTGCTGCCTCCTCAGCCTGGGCTAGAAGCTCCTTCCCCAACCCATCCCCTACAGCTGTCCCGGGCACACGGGGTACCAGAACAATGCTGGGCTGGCTAGCCTGGCACAGCCTCTTCCTCTGCCCAGCGGCAGGATAGGCTCTGCCTGAGTCTGGGCTGAAGGCGGAACCCAGTCCCTGTGGCCCATTCAAGTCCTTGTAGCTGCCAGGCAAGGAGGCCAATGAGCAGCAGAATCAGAGCAATCACCCGACCCCTAGCCATGGCACACCAGGCAGGTGGCCGCTGCTCCCAACCCCCCTCCAGCTGGGCTGGATTGGCTCCGGTGGCCGAACGGGGATGGCTGCCCAGGCCCCAGGGCCAGCTGGCCCCCAGCAGCACCCCATACTCACCTGCTGCCGCAAGACATCGTTGTCCATCTGCAGCTGGTCGAGGCCCTGCAGCTCCTCGGAAAGGCGGTGGTTGCTCTGCCGCAGCTCCTGGATGTAGTCACAGGCTTTGGAGAGGATCCCTCCCTTACTCTGCAGAACAGAGAGACGGCTGGGAAGGGACGGGGGCCAGAGCAGCAGGACATCGCCACTGGGGCTGGCTGGGAACCATCAGCCTCGGCCCCTGCTAAGCTGGGGTTTCCTTACCCCTTTCACCAGTGCAAGGCCCTGTGTGGACGCTCCCGTTCCCAATCAGCAACGGGTTTAAACTAAACTGAAATAAGCGTTCACACTGGAGCTAAAGCGGCGCAAGTCTGGGTGCGCACAGGGCCTCAGACAGCTCCTCGCTGCATCGGCCCCTTGCCAGCCCCAGTGGCCAGGAGCCCAGCTCTCAGTGACAATCACCCCAGCCAGGGATTTGCTTCGGCCCGAACTTGGGAGCAGACGGAAGGGTTTCCGCACGATTCACCCCTCTGGAGGAGGCGTCTCCACAAGTCCTGAGCACGCAGGAAGGGGGCTGCACTCGAGCATGACCATGGCCATGCTAGGCTGCGGGCTGGCAGGGGACGGGGCTGCACAGAAACGTTTGCCCCCCAGCTACAGTTAGGTTGTAAATTGGTTTCATCAGAGCAACGCAGCCCCATGTGGATGCAACGAATACGATTTAACCCCCACCCCGAGCAAGCTAGTGCTGCTAGGAATCAAGTGACACCAGACGGACATGAGCCAGGCTGGAATGAATCCAGGGTCCAGGCAGGGATCTGCACCTGTTGAGGTCAGTTAGCTTCCCAGCCCTTAGTTAATCTGCTGCAGCGAGTGCCTAGGCCGGGCTGGATTCATTGATCCAGATTCCCTGTCACCTGGTCCCTTGTGCAGCCATTTACACCAGCGCAAAGTGAGTGTCGCACACAAGGGGCAAGGGCCCGTCCCTACAGGGGGAGGCGCTGCGGGCAGAGCTACGCACCGGCTTCGGCGCCTTGAGTGCACAAACCACCACCTGGGAATGAGGCACGGTGGGGGTGGGGCGATGCTGTGGGAGGGACACGAAATGGTCTTGCCAGGTAGCCCTGAGCCCAGCACTGCGGTGGGGGAGGGGAGTTACTTCCATACACTAGGACCCAGAATCCTCCTCCCTCCGTCACTCCAGAGCCACCTGGGGGGCTCTCTCCCGCTCGCCCTTTCGCCCAGCATGAACGTCGCCCTCTGCAAAGCGCTGCCTAGCCGTCAGCGAACACCGCTGGGCATGGAGCTTCCTGCCCTGGTGCAGCCAGGGAGAGTGAGGCAGAGACGTTGCGTTTCCTTGCCCAGGGCTACGTCTGCTGACTTCAGGGACAAGAGTCGGCTGCTGCTTTTTACCCTCTTGCTAATACCGCACAGCCAGCCTGGCCCTGGGGGAGGGAGCTGGAGGAGTTGGGGGGAGTGATCCCCTCTCTGACAGCCCAGCAGGGCCAGCCTGGCCACGGGGGAGGGAGCTGGAGG